CAATCACCAAAAACGACTACTATCGGAATCTATATTCATTAATTTGGAAAAAAATAATCCGGTAAACCATAAAGTAGACAAAGAAAAGATCTGTAATACATATTCAAATATTTTCCGCCTCCTGAAACAATAGCCTATGTAATCCTTAATATAATACAAACTTATATTATGATAAATATTGTTATTCTGAAAATATTGTATAATATATTGTCTTAAGTATCATTGGGCATACATTGAAATTGTCTTTATTATAAAAATTATTCATCTAACCACTAGCGGATCCAGTATTTAATTTTGGGGGGGGCTTCAGCCCGAAACCTTTTTTTTTTTCATAAAAATAACGATAATTACTTTGGAAAAACAGAAAGAAACTAACTACCTATATGAAATGGTGTTTAAGTTATTCCTTAAGTACTTTTAAATGTAATTACACGTACAATAATACTTTAAGAGGTATTTTTAAAAATTTTTTTCCCATAAAACATGTTTATATTTATCCATTTTGGGGAGGGGCTTCAGCCCGAAAGCATATTTTCATGTGAGATTTTTAATAATTATTTATTTATCAAAACTCTTTTTTATCTTTCAACCTTTTATTTTATATTTAAAACATTTTTACAAACATTTAAAAATTATTTTTTAACGTTTTGGCTCCAAGAACCATTTTAAAAACTTATTTTTCTTTTTAAAAAAACAAATCATTAGTTCTATAAAAGCATTATTTCTTTTTTAAAAAGAGCTGTAGTTTAGATTGACTGTTTTGTCAGTAATTGTTATGAGACTAATTTTTTGTTTTTAAAAAAGAAAAAATTTTGATAACGGCTCTTGGAGCCAAAACGTTAAAAAATAAATTTTATATCTTTGTAAAAGTTTTTTATTTAAAATAAAAGGCTGTGAGATTAAAAAGGATTTTTATACATAAATAATCATAAATAGACTAAATAGTGGCAAAACTATTTTATTAAAAGCCAACGTTTCGACCCCACTTAGCTGCTCTTCAGGGCTAGAACGGACAAAATACAAAAATATATAGAGAATTGTGAAAATTACATCATATTTAGATAAAAATTATAAACAATGTGAATAAACTTATTGAAACTATAAACAGCAAGTACATTAAAATATTAAGAACAATAAGTTGTATAAACAGAGTAAGCTAAGTAACAAGTTTCTAAACTGAAGTAAATAGATGGTAACAATTGTTGTTGTATAATATAAATTATAATATATGCCATTGTGAATATACTCCTACAGATCTACAGGAGAGATTGGAAGAAGAGTAAAAAGGATATAATATGAAATAATGGACATAAAGGGATGTGGAGAAAGAAAAGAAAAAAAGAAGAAGAAAAACAAAAAGTAAAAAAATAAGTAAATAAAATTAGAAGAATAAAAATAGAGACTTACAGGTGTGTTCAGCAAGGAGTTTCACTTAGAACTGGAAAACCAGCGTAAATATTGGGGAAATTCTCTGACCTGGTTGGTGAATGTTGAGGGGGTAAATTACTACAGTATCTAAAATTTGAAGATATGGATGGATACAAAGGAAAATACTATATCTATGAAATAATAAATTATAGATATATACATATACATATAAAATAGAATTAAGAAATTATAGTAGGTGTACAATTTGAATAAAAACAAAAATGAAAGAAGTAGAACGTACTTAAAAAATATAGAAGTAAAATATAAATATAAAAATAAGAGACGATACATTGCAGAATTAATTTCGAAGTATAGAGAGAAAACAAATATGAATCATTATAATTATACTTAGTTGTACATATGTAAGAAAATTAAATTTAAATATTAGATAATATTGAGATATAATGGTTAAAAAGTAAAATGAATACAAGGTGAAAACGGATGATCATACATTGATGTAGAAGGTAAATATAAAATTAAAATAAAATAACAGAGAGATCATACAAAGCGGAAATACTTAGAATAATGAACAATTAAATTAAATTAATCAATAAAAATTGAAAGTAGATAAAAATAATACGATGTAATATATGTTATTTTTCACTTATAAGATTTAAAATGTGTCTATATGTTTAAGAAATGCAGTTTTTATCTACTTCATGATTAACAGGATTCCATTCCATGTGAATGTGGATGTCTTTTTTCATGGTTAGGGACCGTGGCAAGAATAGAAGTTTTTTCAAAATCAAATGAATGCTTGTGGGTTAAGGCATGTTCTGATAGTTTGGAGGCTGAAGAGTTCCGGGAAGTTATGGATGTTTTATGTTGGGAAATGCGGGTTTTGAGATGGTTTTTGGTTTCACCATTATAGGAGCTATTACAATTAGGAGTAGAGCAAGGTATCCGGTAAACTACATTAAATCGGTGTTGTAAAAGTATGGGATCCTTCAAGTGGGTGAAAAGGAAAGAAAGTTTCTTATGGGACTTAAGGCCAAGACGTAAGTTGTTTATAGTCGATTTCTAATTTTGTTGTCCTTGAGAGATACTTGCTCCTTAGATGTCTTCCTAGCCCAAAGGAACATCGGTTAGCAATGATTTTTCTCCACCTCAATTTCCTTTGTGATGTCATTTCCTGTATTTATCAGGGATCCCAGGTAGACGAACTCATCCACTTTTTCAAACTTATAGGAGCCAAACTGCACATTATCTGCCAAGATACCAAACTCGGAGATCATATACTTGGTTTTCACAGCAATTACACGTGCATTTCCCTGTATCATGCCATTTGTTACAAAGCTCATCTCTGACAATTCATCAGTACACACACCACATACATCGATTCTGCCATGATTAATTTAACCAATCAAATCAGTTTCTCTGGGATATTTAGTTCCCTCATCGCTTGATAAAGAGGATCGCGTAGTACACTATCATAAGCAGCTTTGAAGTCTACAAACAGGTGATGCGTATGGATGCAATACTCTCTGCTTCGTTCCAGTATAATAAGGAGTGAGAAAATCTGATCGACTGTTGATCAACCTTTGCGGAATCCACAGTGATATTTTCTCTGTGAGCTCTCCACATATGGCAGAAGTCGCATACATAAAATGTTTGAAAATACTTTATACGTGCAAGGCGACAGCGAAACAACCCGATAGTTTTTACATTCAAGGAAAACCCCCACAGTATCGCCTTTTTCCAAGAACTTGGCATTATTTCTGATGTTCACACGGATACAAATAGGCTCTGTAAGGCTTTAACCAGATATCTGCCTCCTTTCTTAAAGAGATTTGCGGCAAGTCATCAATTCCAGGTTCCTTATGGTTTCTAAGTTTCTCAATTGCATCACACACCTCTTCCTCATCAGGCAGGTCAATCTCTTCTTTTTTCCTAGTGTCGAGGAGCCTTGATCCAACACAACCATGTCTCTTGGTCCCGGTCAAGTTGCCTCATCTCTTGGAGAGTTTCCCTCCAATCCGCTGCATCTACTCCTAGTAGGAAATTCTGGGTCGGCCTCGTGGTCGCCTTCCAGTGGGTCTAGTTTCTATCACTTTCCGTGGTTCTCTTTCATCATTCATCTGACAAACTTGTACAAACCACTTCAGTTGTCGATTTTCAAAGATTGTCTTAAGCTCTACCAGCTCCAGCTCCTCCTGTATCCGTTCATTCCTGAAACTGGTCTTACCAATGCCCCTCCACAGGAACTTCATCTCAGGACTCGTTACCCAGCTGGCCTGCTTGTCCAGCATACCCCAACTTTCACTTCTGTAAGTCAGGGTTGGTAGGTATACACACTTGAATATATGCCTTTTTGTTTCATTACTAACGTCTCTGTGTCCCATTATGGTATTACAGATAAGATAATAAATCTGGTTGGCTTTTCAAGTCTTATTTGCTACTTCTGGGTCAATCTTCGCTGTATTGCTTATGACTGCACCCAAATAATTAAATTCCTGCACAACCTCAAGTATCTCACCATTACATATCAACTGGACATCTTCTTGTTCCTTTCTTAAAAGAAGTAAGATCTTGCTCTTAGAGGTGTTGATATCCATTCCTTTGCAGAGGAGCTCTTCCTGCCATTCCACAAGGGCTTGTTGCAGTTTGTCTTTTGTATCTGCTATCAGTACGATGTCATCGGCATATGGTAAGAACCATAACATTCCTCATGTTCCATTTACTGATGACCGTCCAAGCAGTACTACAAATTTTATGGATTTCATTCGTAAATATGATGAATAAGAGGGGACTGAGACTGTCTCCCTGTCTCACACCTCTTTCTATGGAAAAAGGCTTGGACTCTCTTCCATTGATCCTTACAACTCCTTTCGCTTCCTGATGAACTGATGTAATAGCTGTGATAAGATCTCCTGGAACATTTTTTGCTTTCAAAGCATTTTTGACATTTATTAATATTTTATTACAGAGTAATTGTTTTAAAATAGACTTTAGAAACCTTCCAAACACTTGTGTTTTTGCAAGAAAAACACTTTCACACCGTGTTGACACTTTCTTTCCAATGTTCTGTTAACTTTTTACAAAGTTAAATAACAATTAACTTTCTCTAATGGCGGCTTATTAAAAACTCCCTTTTTAACATATTATATATTAAATAAAGGATGAGAAGCACGAAAAAGGTTTATTTAATTCTGAAATAGAACATTTGAATGCATTGCACAATTTCGTTCTTAACTTCGCTTTGTGATAATTGTTTATTATAGTGAAGCGGGAAATGTTAAATGATTTTAGCATAAGCATAAACATGTCCACCCATAACTGATTTATCATACATTTCTTAAATGTCTTTGAGGAGATATATATTCTGTAATAAAACAAAATATTTTCAATTAAATCTTTTTATATTTTCAAAATGGGCTACACTTCAAATATCCAATAATTTTCGCTTTTATTCATCAGCTATTTAAAAGTATATAGATTAATTAAAATTTTAGAATCTCCTGTTTTTTTAAACATGTTAGAACAAACACTATAAAAACGAGAGACTAAATTAAAAAAAAAAGCATTTAAACACTCTTGATAATTAATACAAAAAATTCTAATGATTGTTATAGTTAAAATATTGGAAACAAAGTACAACAGAAGAAAATGCAGTTTATTATTTGAGTAGAAGCACAAGACCATGGTCTCTGATTGTTGGACTTCAACCTAATACTTATTATTTTGTAAAAGTAATGGCCTATAATTCTGCAGGTGAAGGGCCAGAAAGTGAAAGATTTTTAGGTACTTATATTTTTGTATTATTTATTTGATCCAACATTCAAAATATTTTATTTAAAATCTTGAGTAATTTTATTTATTAAAAAGGAACAGTTTTTTTTTTTTTTAAGGCTATGTTTACATATTTATTTTTGTTGCTAAATGATAATGTGAAAATTTTTGAACAAATATTTCAAAATTGTTAAAAGTTCTTAACTTAGTTATTGCATTGTGTAAAAATATGGAAATAATTAAAGTTATTATATTTAAAATTGTTATCTAAATTTTTTCTATAATTATAGTTGAAAGTGACTTTGTTTAGATCTAATTTAATATTATGAGTAATAAATAAAATATTTTTTTATTTTATTTTCAGAAAAAACCTATAGAAAGGCTCCACAAAAACCACCTTCATCTGTCAATGTTTATGGTATTGATCCTTCGACTGTAAGAGTTTTATGGCGTTATGTACAACCAAGCTTAGATGAGGAACCTGTGATTGGCTATAAGGTGATTATAAATATTAAAGTTACTTAAATTAGTTATGTTTACATCTTTGGTATCTATTGTGTAAATATGGTTTAAAAATACTTACAATTAAGTTAATTACAGTTATAAACATTTATCTATGAATTGCTATCTCAGAAATCCGAAATAAGTACTGCATGGGATATTCAGATTACCGAAAAATTTGGGTTACAGAGGGTGTACTATGTATGATTAATTAAATAAAAATACTTTTAGAACAAATTTAGGTACGATTTATTATTCATCATAAATATACAACTGTCTTCTCTTAATCAGATTAACATAGGTAATCGATTATATTATAATTGAACATACTAAGAGATTAAAGTCTTATATTAAAGAGGGTTGTTATGGTCCTTAATTTAGAAGAATTGTTTCCCGAACAAACTTGCTGGATGCTCAGTGGAGACGGTATGGTTCGCAAAAAAAAAAAAGAAAATTAATGAAGAGTCAATTAAATATTACTAATTATCTGACGGGCCCCACGCTATTTAATTGGTTGAATTTGGAAAATAGCGAGAAAAACCATAAAAACCAAAAATAAATAAATTTAATTAAAAAAAAAAAAAAAGATTTGGATGTGGAGTAAGCTACAAACTCGGAACCTTTGGGTTTAAAAACATATTTTAATTAACCTCAAAACCTATCGAACCTTCTTACTCGGTTAATATTCATTTTCCCTAATCCCTCGAATAGGGTTTTACAATTCCTTATTAAACCTTAAAAAAAATAATTATAATATATACCTAAAACGTGAAAACAAACTGAAGAAAAATAAGAAAATAAAACTGACTATTATAAATACAAATGATGAATCTACTTATTTCTGTTGATTTAAATAACTGTTAAAGGAAATGAAAATTATGAACAAGAAATTAGATTTATAAGAAAACTAAAAAAAATACAATAAACTTTAATTATCTAAAAAAAAGAATATAAAATTATTATAGAACTAAACATTAACTTAGACTATATAATAAACTATTTAAAACAAAAATAGATAGGATATAAAAACTTATATATACATATTTACAAAATCTCAATGCCGGACTTTGTCCCTTTGGCACATTGAGTTATCTGAGGAAGCAGGAACTTATTCGAGCTAGCATCGTCAGGGTCTCCCCAGTCCACCTCCTCGAGCTGTGAAAATGTTCATTCACCAACTTGTAAAATCAAGCGGCATTCGTCACTGATAATCACAGGTTCCTGGAGAATAAATGAAAAATTTGGTGTACACCGTAAAACTGAATTATTTCACACACAAAAATCCTTAGCATGCCTCAACACTCGCGAGGTTCCGCCATATCTCTCTAAACTGTCTTTCATTTTTCTCTCTCATATGTCGGCTGTTATACTGACTTAACATTAATATTTACAACTAATACTTAAAACTAATTTATTTTTAGCTAACCCTTCGAGGTAAAACTAACAATTATTTTACGAACTAATTTTTATTTTTTTGTATTTTATTTTTCATCTCAGGGTGTTTGGGAAAATTACTTAAGATAAATAAGATTAAAACTCAATAAATATATACATCTTTATTAATTGGATAAATGCGAGTATACTTACTTAAAAACATTGAATTTGTATGTAAAAAAAGGTTTTTTATTTATTTTTTTAAAATTTAAATATTTCAGTTTTTTCACTAATTCTCTTAAGTGTTGAAGAGTATTTGTTGCCACATCATATTTTTTGCAGTTTTTCATAGAAATTGAATACAAACAATGATTGAAATGATACACTAACTTTTCAAGATTTACTGTCTCTGTTTTTATTAAAGATGAGGGATTCTTGGAAAATATTCACGGGAAGGGTGCATGTGTATGAGCTAAGATAATAACTGGAAATTGGTCTAGGTGGGCAAGTGTCTTTCTTTAGAAAATTATATTCTTGCCCTCTGCATCCCTTTTTCTTTTTTTGAACAAAATTCCATTTATCATTTCTTCCATTTTTTTTTTCCTTTTTGCTGCTAGTTAGGGTTACTGAAATATTCAGATTACTGAAATTGCACTGTATATATATTAGTTCACTATTGTAATCTTATTATTGTATTCTTGGGGAGAATAAATATACTTTGTATAATGAGGAAATAGGTGTGAATAGTGAGGTAAATCCACCCTCCCATTTCCCAATTATTCTTGGACTTCAAATAAAATTATAATCCATATTAAAAATATTTTTAAAAAATAATTAATTTAAAATGATAAAATACCACTGATATTGTATTTTCATTTAAATGGAACGTTTAAATCATTTTTGCTGTATATGCTTTGCAAATCGTGAAAATAGCTGGAAAAACAAATGTACTATGCATTGGCATTATTAATGATTGTTAAAACTATTAAAACTTTACATTGACTATCATTGTCAATTTACAATTGTATATTTCTTAAGAATACCATAACGTATGCAGAGAGATTGCTGAGTAATTACGTGGCTGGTTTTAGAAAAGGACACTCCATGGTAGACAAATTTTCTCCCTAAGAATGATATTGTAGAAGAGTCTCGAGTATCAGATGGTCATTCATTATCTTTTTTCGACTTGCAAGAAGCTTCTATGATAAATTGTTTTTATGTAGAAAATCTACCACTCCTTGGAAGAGCTGGGTATGCCTTGGAAGCTGATCCAGTGACTGTGAGAAGCATAAAATGTCTTGTGCAAGTGAGCCTAGATCTTTCTGAGAAGTTATAGGCTGATGCTGGTGTAAGAAAATTGGATGCATTGGCTTGTCTGTTATTTAGCTTAGCAGAAGAAATTGTAATCAGGAATCCCAAATCCAGGTTGGTGAGACCATCTTTAAGCGATAATTTGAACGGCTGGGATATTCTGATGCCACTGATATTATTGCTGGATATGAGCGTTCCTTTTATCAATTTTAAGTTGGAGACTATAGCATGGATGTGGTGAACTTTGTTAAGCTTGGGAGACTTCATTGATCCAGCCATGTGGCAAGAATGATATCCTAAAAAATTATGATAGAAGTCCTCCATTGGACCTGCAGATTTATTAAAAGACGAAATGCAAGATAGTTGGATGAAGTGACATCAGATGCTAAACTGCTTCTTGACATCCGAAATTGAGCAACTGCTGCTCAAGATGAAACCTGCTGGAGGAGGCCTAGATTCAGTAATGGATTATTGCGCCATCAAGTAGTAGTAGCAGTAGTCAATTTCTAATCGCTTAAGAAATTAAGACAGTAATTGTAGACTAGCACAAGGTTGAGTGGCTTTCAGTGAATTTTTAGGATGAAATTGGTTGCAATACAAGAGGGATAGATCCTTAGAGCAGAAAAAAGTTCATGTCTCTTTAACCTTCCTTTCCCTGCTAGAATTTGTTACTTTAATTAATAATAAATTATATCGTCCAGAAAAACAAAACAAACGCTGCCATGTTTCATATGGTCAACGATCATATGCTTCCCTTCCTCTAATCATTTTTATTTTTATTTTTTATGAGATAGTTTTAGTTAAGATACATTGGCAATTTAATCATCAAAGTTTTAGCCTAATAAATCAATTTTATTATCAAGAGATATTTATTTATTTTAAAGGTTATTTAAATGTTTTCTTTTAATGAAAGAATATTATATTATTTATAGTCGGCTTATATTTTAGTCTTGTTATAATTAATAATGAATTAATTGTGAATTCTTTATCATATTATTATGTTTATTTTTTCAATTCTCGGCTTTTTCCGGATAAATCTACTGACCCGGACCGAGGTCAAGGGTACAGTTTATTACCTATTTAATTTGAAATATTAAAAAATTTTGGAACAATGCTGGCGGTTCCCAGCATTACCGCTTTCTGGATTTCCTGAAGTTCCCAGCTTAATCCAAGTAGCTTAATTGATTTTAGAGTATCATCAGGAATCAGGCCATGGCTGGATACGATAATGGGTAGCACTTTTACTTCCAGCAGCCGGTATAACTGCCTTAATTCCTCGCAAAGCTCTTGATACTTCCGAATTTTTTCACTTAATGTTTTAGCTACATTATCATCAGCAGGAACTCCAACTTCGATAATGATGGCTTTTTTTGTATCTTTGTTAACCAGCAGTATATCTGGTCTATTGTGAGGAATACTATGGTCAGTTATCATAGTTTGATCCCAGTATAGCTTGACATTCCCTTTTTCCAATATAGCCTGCGGCTGATATCTATAAAAAGGTTTTAAAATGAAATGTTGAAAAGATGTAAGTAAAGATAACTCTATAAGTGGAGATTTTAGTATTAGACTATTAAATTAATGTGGACAGAGGCAATTCAGCCTATATGATTTTAGTTTTTTAAATAGGTATGCAAATATAAAATAAAAAATAGGAACAATTGTAATTAGGCTGTATAATTTGATTGTTTGTTAACCCTTTGACTGCAGGAGCTCATACGTGAGTTTCTACCGTACGTTGCATCCTGAAATCCACAAAGACATAAAACCGATTTGTTTGCATAAATTTGTTTACAATGCTGTTTTGAGTCACCCTGCAAGTTCTTAGCTTTCATAATTGCATTTTAATGTTTTTATTCAACTTTTAAAAAATGGGATGCCTTTCCGGCCGCACATAGCAGTGCCAAATTAGAGCAGCAATACCGTAACACTTCGTTTCTTGAGTATTTACTCCTTTCTGAAAAGCAAAATAAGTTTAAATGATCACAAAAATACTGTAAGTGATCTTAAAAATTAAATTATATTATTTCTAAAAAAAAGAACACCGACGGCGGGATTCAAATTATATCTTTGTATTTATAAATTTTTTTCTTACCTAAAAAAGTTCCGTATTGAAAATGGCACAGCTATAAATTTTATTATTGCACTTACATTCATTTTGAGTTTCAAATATTTTTATATTATATGAAAGATATATATGTCTTGTTTTTAGGAATGGAAAAATGATAAAACAATTAAATCATCATTTTAATTCTGTATATTTTTACATTTATTAATTTTTACTATTTAAATTTAATATATATGTATATAAAATGTAGAAAACTTACATTTATTTGTTTAGTAGACAGAGATTCACGTGTACCAAAATCAGCATTCATTCAAAAACAAAATTAAAAAAATTAAATAAAACATAAAATTAACTTATAAACATTTATTTTATGTATAAAACATTTAAATAGAATATAAATAATATCATGGATATGACGCAAATAACAAAGAAAGGACATACCTTGGGTTCAGAATAAATCTGCAACTGATAGCTTCCAAATGGTCAGAATCCGGAATGACTGCAGTTAGCTACAGGGGATTAATGAATGAACCGACCAAGCCACAAGTCAAATGGTGAAGGCGGAAAGGCATACATTCAGTGACCCAACTCACTACTAGGAAGGCATATATCCTGTCCGCACCATTGACCCAACTATTAACGGGAAGGCATGTATCCAGTCCGCAGTCAAAGGGTTGAAGGTTTCTTCCCTTGAAAATGGCCTAAGGCTGAAATGTTGGTGTAAATAAAGAAATAAAGTAGGATTATGGTGATCAAATTATGAGTTCTTATTATTACTATTATAGATATTTTTTTTTTCTTTACTTAAATCTGTTGGAAGTGAATTCATTCTTTTTGTGGTCTGAAATTCATGAATACTAAAATAATTTTTTCAGGTTCGTGTTTGGGAAATAGATCAAGACATGAGCACTGCTAATGATACAATCGTTCCTCTGGGATCTGTTTTAGAAGCATATGTGAGAAATTTGACTCCTGGTAAAACTTATCATATGCGAGTTTTAGCATTTTCAAATGGAGGTGATGGAAGGATGTCTTCGCCTACTTACACTTTTCAGATGGGTAAATGTTATATAAATAAACTATTTTCTGTTATCTTTTAATTTTATCTTTCAATTAAAATGGCAAATTTTTATGTATTTTTTTAAGTGTATATGTACTACGTTGACAAAATAAAGGTAAGTACAAATGTGTCAATAATTATAACTTAGAGCAGTGCAACACTTGTACATCTTTCTTGATTTAGTTGTTTTATAATATTTTTTATAACCAAATTACTAATACTCCAATATTGATATGAAAAAACCACTGACTGAAAAAAAAATAATGAACCTCACTAATATACTGTTATTCAGAATCTGGCAAGATTTTTGGTAAGGATGGTAACGACACTAGTAGATTATATACATTCTGAGAATTCAAGTGAGGACAGTGATGATGAAGTTATTTCCTAATCTAAAGATGAGGCTGTTATCGAACCTGAAGGTAATCATGATGCTTTTCTAGCAACATCATATATGAGTGGTAATCTGAACAGAAGATCTACAAAATCTTGAATTATTTATTTTCAGGGAAAAATTTGGTTTGAAATTGGATGTGACAATCTTATAATGCAACTGGTACTGGGTTTGGGGACTAAGTCCGGAAAGTGGACCAATGGGTCCTTTTTGCCAACCTCAAAGACAATAATACCAATGGTAGTCTATTACACCTCCATTTCTGTCTCAAACCTTTTCGTTCTTCTAATGAAGTTCAAAAGGCAGGACCATTTTATGAAGGAAGCTTTCTGTTATATAGTGAACTGCTGTTGCCGTTGAATTTCTGCACAAATACGTCTGTAGAGTTCATCGTCAGCATACGTCGATATGTCTGCAGTGGCCTGTTAGTATCCCAATAATGAGTCGGATTTCCTTTTTAGCTAGGCCTAACAGCCACTTAGTTATAGAGGGGAGTGATTTTTAATTAACTGTTTGGCTTGTCTGAGCCCAGTGCATTCCCTTCATTCCTTACCTGCTCTTTTCCATATCCAATCAAGAACTTCTTTTCGCTGATGTTTGTTTGATATTCCTATTACAGTCTCTGGACCCATAATAGGGAATTCTGCTTCCTTTTTTGCAAGGAACACACTCCCGTACCAATCTGGAGGTCACTTCGGGGGATTCTAATGCTTGAAGTGCTGACTATCCGAATAGATAGTAATGCCAGCCCTCTCACAGTTAATGACTTCCAAGCAAGTGGCTCCAGAGAGAATAGCAAACGCTTCCGCTTGAAATACGGTGGAATTTTTGCCTAATGGGATGCTTAGTTCTATATTTAAATTCTCTATATATACTCCTGCGCCCGTTCAGCTGGCTGAGTCTTTTCTCGATCCATCAGTGAAACAGGGCAGGTAGTCCTTCTTAGTTTCTATTGAACCCTGCACCCAATTTGTTATATTGGGATACAGGTAGCTAATTTTCTATCTAAAATAGGACTTTTCTCAAGCGGTGCAGAAAGGTACTGTAAAATAGGTAACTCTTTTTCTATCATCCTGATTATCTCTGAGTGGCCAGTGAGTGTCCCTGTTTCTTGCCACTGTCTATTATCCTTCATTCTTAAAAATGCCACAATCGCTTCATCTATTAGCCATAGATGTAGTGGCATCAAGGACAATGAATGAATGAAAAAATAATTTTATTCTGGGACTAAAGTCCCCTAAGAATAATAACAGAGTTAAATATTCATGAGTTTTTGGCTTAGATTAATATAAAATACAAACTAATTAACTGTTGATTGTTATTGAAATTTTGCAGTTGATTGAATTAAACAGTGTACCGACGCAAGTTATTTTTACGTGAAGTTTGAATGTGGAGTAGGTGGTGGAACAGGAATTGTTTGAAGGAATTTGTGGATGAGTATTGAAGTATGGATATAGGAAGAGAGTTCCAAAAGGTGGTAGTACGAATGATGAAGGATTTGCTGAAGGAAGTAGTTTTATGAGACTTCCAAGGCCTTCGTAGATGTAATGCCAATACAGGCCATTCTTTGTATGCGACAGAGCATTCACATATGAGGGGCCTTATTTAGTGCTACCCAACACACCATGCTTCCATATTGTATTCTAGGTCAAATTATTGCCATATATATGCAATGCATAGCTTTAGGATTAAAACCCCAAGTTGTGCCTACAGCGCATCTTACCTGCCAGAAGGCTATTATGGTTTTCCTTTTAACTTTTCCAAATGTGGTCCCCAATTTATTTTAGAATCTATGGTTATACACATGCATTTAACATTCTGTCTTAATTGAAGTTGCTTACCAAAGAAATTTGAGCCTTGAAGGCGTCCAGCTTACGTTTCTTGGTAAATAGAATCAACTCATTCTTCGATGAGTTTACTTATATATGCATTTAAGTACACCATGTCTGCACAATATTACATACAACTTCATTCTGTTCAAAAAGTGTATTGAACTTTACTATAATGAGGATCACGCCGTTGTCCCCGAATGCTTGGACATTAATCCCTGCTTCCTCTAGTCTACTTAGTAGGTCATTCATCAACAGGCACCGTAACAGTGGTGAGTGCCGCTCCCTTGGGGTACCCCTTCACCGCCTGTACTTGCAGTCTGACTCCTTCTGAAACAACAATAATTCTATTTTTTATATGAATCTTACCCATCTGACCATTCCAGTGGAGGCAGATATACTTCTAAGGCTTTACAAACTGCTTCGGGCTCGTTCTTATGGCCCCTTATACATCGAGAAAGAGTCTTAAAGCCGACTCCTTATAGGACCTTTTCTATTCTCCCTACTAGGGAGTGTAGGGCTGTATCACTAGATTTTCCTTGGAGATAAGTGTGTTCGTTCAGTTGTAACGGATGATGAGGCAGCACCTTGCTTGTGAAGTGAGCTTCTTCCAACTTCCCCAGGATATTAAATAAAAAAGAGGTTAGGCTTATAAGTCAGTAGGCTTTAGCAACACTATAATCCTCCTTACAATTCTTAGGAATGAAAGCTATTAATAATTTCCTCCAGGGCTCCAGTATATATCCAAGTGCTAGTGATGATCTAAATAGTGCTTTAATTCAAATAAGTAAACATTAAGACCCTCTTGAAGCATATACAGAAATATACCATCCGTACCTTGGGCCTAATACGGTTTGAGCTCTCCCACAGCCCATCTAATGGCCCCTTTGGTAACGACTGCCTCAGCCCATATGCAATCTTCCTCTTTTATTGAGGCTTCTTTATTTGAAATGAGAATATCTTTTATTATTCTGGGACTTTTGTCGAACTCTCAGTCTGTCGAGGGTACCCAGTCCAGTAGCCAGTCTCTGGTTTCCTCATTGGCACAAGTGAGGAGAAAAGAATCTGGTTTCGCCTGATACCCAGAGTTTCTAAATGTTATAAGTACAGGGTAAATACCGGTATGGAGATACATAAATTAAGTATTTACAAAATAATAGTTAATTAAAAATAAAATGACAGATAGAAAGAGAAAGAGAGGGAAAAAACAACAACATACATATATATATAAAACAAACATCGGAAACCAGGCTAACATAAGTAAGCTGGAATAGTCTCTAGGGGTACTTAAAGAGTTCTCTTAGGTACATTTCATGATCCATCTAATTGTGAAAGGAGTAGGTGTTTAACCCTAGAACGACACACTGGGGTGTAACACACTCCACAACATTTACAATATTAATTTGCTTTTATATAAGTTGCTCTTTGGCCAAGTTTTTTCATGTAAATAAACATCAAACATAGCCAGGCTAATTACAGTCATTAGCACTCCATTGTTAGGTTTATATCATTATTGGGAGTCATCGAAAGTCATTATGGGATATTCCACACCCCAGTGTGTTGTTTACGTGACTGTCCTGGGTGCCTCACACCCCAGTGTGCTGTCAATGCAACTGTTCTGTGAATTTTGTATCCCAGTGTTATTCTGTGTTCTTTGTTATTCTGAAACTTCGAATAATTTAGATGTGGATTTCTAATGTTATATTTGTTAATTAGTGTTATTTTCAATTCAGATAGTAATGTATAGAAACTATTTTTTTAGTATGGCAACTACCAAAAAAATGTATTGTTGTCCTGAAAAACTATAATAGCTGATCAAAACTACATGATATTGTTCAGCTTAGTTAACTGGGAAAAGAAGATGAAATGGAGAAATTATTTATTTAGATTAGGCTATTATTTACTTCATCCCTGTTTAAAAGGAAGACTGCATGCAGGGACACTCACACGAACAGTATGTTACTACATAAAAGAAATTTTGGGAATTAAAAAAAAAAAACTACTGTTGGAAAAACAACCAAATATTTTTTTTGCACTGGAGTGAAAGATATGAAGACGAAAATGGTTTGTCAGCAGTGTAGTAAGAGACCTATCTGCAATGAACACAGGGCGACAGTTGCTTGGATTGTTGAGAGTGAGTGGTCACATAAATGGCCCCCACTATAGGTTTTACTATCTTTTTAAGTAAAAATATATATTTTTTCCTTTATTGTGTATATATTTTACATTCCAAATATATATATTTAATTTATATAAACTTAATTTATTTTCAATAGAAAAATATGGATCCTTTTTAGATTTTTTAGCGATATAAATGTTAACTTTTTACTTTAGCATATAAAATGCATGTAACGTTCAAATATAAAATATATTCTCTTATGTTACCTTTAATTTATTTTTTTGTTCTCAAATGGGAGGCTTCCTCATATGCCACCACAATAATGGTCCCGAGGGTATCCACAAAATGGGTTTTGTGGCTTTCCAATCAATTCCTGAAAAGTTTTCAATAAGTATTTCTCTGATTTCTTTTCAGGGATGGAGGAGGCTGGACTAAATTTATCTTAAATGAGATCATCCTGTGACTAAACAATGCAATGTCTGTGGTAACAACCCAGTCTTTGAACTGACTTTTAATGCAACTTGAAGTGAGTGTAACGTCTAAAACCTCACTTCTAGTCCTGTCACAAAAGTGGCTTCGCTGCCTTTAATTTTAACGAATTTTTAAGTCGTTTGAGGCTATATATTTTAACAAGATTTCATCTCGCTCATTAGTTTATGTATTACCCCACAGACGATAATGGGCTTTTATATCCCCACCTAATAAGAGTTGTTAGATCATATTGTTTTGCAAATATATAAAGTCTGTCTATATATTGGGATGCAGGATCTGAATTTTAAGGTACATAAATAGATCCAATTATTATTTTAATCTTATTAGTGTCTACCTTGATAGTCAAAGTTAAGGAGTTCACCACCAGGGAGTGGCAATATGTGCAAGTACTCGGAGGCCCATAGGAACGCCCTAGGTTTGTCTTTAATTAGGGGAGGTCGGATGATTCTTCCTCCTGTTCCCCTTAAGCCTTTAATCATTCCCCTAAAACAATAAGGTTCTTGTATTAAAACGAGAGTGGATTTCACCCCCAAAAATAGCTTAGCTAATTCGGCCTTGGCCAATTTGTTGTGTTGAATATTAATTTGTCTTACCTTAACCACAGTGGATTCTATTGTTAGTTAATGGAAGGTTGGAAGTGCAGGAGACTAATGGCTCCCATTCCTGGTGTTCTATCTTGAAGCTGTTGATGACTCCTTCCAAACTGTCAAGCTGACTAGCTCATAGTTTATACGGCACCCTTGAGCTTCAAACCAGGAGATTGTGGTACTTGGCACCCTAAAGACAACTCTCAGGTGCCATGGATCACCTTCAGTTCCTAAGAACTGCTACAATGAGGTGCCTGCCAAATTCTCGTTTTTGTAATCTGTTATCCTGACAAGCCTGCTTTGATTGATCGCCTCAGTTTCCAGCCCAATAGCAATTCTACTTGGCCAGGAAGCCTCAGTGGAACACCTCACCACGAACTCTCGGTCTGTCGAGGGTACCCAGTCCAGTAGCCAGTCTCTGGTTTCCTCATTGGCACAAGTGAGGAGAAACGAATCTGGTTCCGCCTGATACCCAGAGTTTCTAAATGTGAGAGGTCTTCTAGGTTGTGGCTCATTTCATCTTATGTCTATTTCGGCTATGAGGTGCCTACATATGAGTTGCACCTCATCCTGTGAGGTAGGTGCACCATCCTGGCTCCCCATTATGACCACTTGCAAGGCTCTTCCAGCTGCAGGGTAGCTATAGATCCTGTAGTATCAGGTATTTCCCTGATCCAACTGGATGCCTTGCTTTTAGGGAGGTACAGCAACAGAGTCGTCATCCCATCTAGGTAATTGACTAGACCTTTTCACGTCTTGCTGACGAGTGTGCGTTGAAGGGGATCTCTGCCTTTTTGCATATTTAAAGGCATGGTATCATCGTTCCACCCGGTCCTGTCTGGGTTTATTAATAACCTTTCAGCTCCTTTCTCCTGTAGCTTGAAAAATACATTGTTCCTGTGCAGTCTGGGAGGACTATCCTCCCTTTACTTCCATTGCTGCTGGCCGTTAGGCTGCTCATCAACAATGTTATCGATTGGTATAATGAAAAGTGTGTTTATAATGTTTTTTGTGTACGTATGCTGCTATCCCAGCACACCCCTCCCTGGAAGAGCTTTTTCTTCAAGTGTGGAGTCCATTGGCCTTAGAGGAGCAACTCAAGTCCATGCAGCAGGTTCCCATCCAGTCACCATATGGCACTAATACATCTTTCGAATTTTTACACTGGACTGATTGAACAGCTACCCCTTCCTGGTTAGGAAGTGTGGGCTTCGGTGCTATCCCAGCAGCCGAGGTGTGCCATCTCTCGTTTTCTTCTTTATCCTCTGAAACAGCTCCCCTGGGCAAGATCAACCATAAAGCCAGAGAAGTAACAAAGGACAACAGGAGTGACCTTCTGAGTTATGTTCTGTAGTTGTGAGCAGTTCCCCTCCAGTTGTTAACCTGGACAGGCATGTGACACCCTCATGTGGCACTAAGATGCTGATGAGAAGGTGTTCTTCTTTAAGCAGCCTGACCTACTTCCCCTTCTGGGGTGGCATCCTATGAAAGGTGACCCAGTGGTGTGTACTGTAGATGTACTTAATGTTTGTGTACTGTATGTGTTTGTCAGTGTAGATGTTCCCCCAACCTAGAGGACCAGTGATTAATTGAGGTCAAACGACCTGGGGAGGGGGCTGACAACTCCCTTCGCTTTATGTAGTGCAAACACTTGTAGACTTTTTTTTTGTTCAGAAATATTTTTTTTAATATTAGATTTAAATATTTTTGAAAATTCATAGTTCAAATTTATTTTCCTTCTTCTTTGTCTACCTCTGATGCCATTCCTAGCATCGAAGAGCCTCGATCCAACGCAGCCATGCCTCTCGGTCTCCACCAAGCTGCCTTATTTCTTTGAGAGTTTTCTCTCTGTTCCCTCCAAGCCACAGTATATACTCATTGTAGGAAATTCTGGGATGGCCTGGCAGTCTCCTCCCAGTGGGTTGAGCTTTCATTGCTTTCTGAGGTTCTTTTTCATTATCCTTCTTTTTACTTAATTTTTTAAAAATGTATTATGATATTTTTAAATTTCATTTTTTAAATTGACTCATAATTGTTATCTTCTAGAATATTCACTGTCTATTTTTCTAATCCATTATGGTTTAGGGCATTATTTCTCCTTAAATATGCTTTCTATCTGAACAATGAAATGCCAGAAATTTCTAATGCCAGAAAATATTAGTTATGTGATATTTTATAGCACTGCAAACTGCATTACTTCTACGCTTTTAGTTTTATGGTTTAATGACCATCTTATACTTATGATATATTTTTTTCTGGTCAGTAAATTATGACAAAACTGGTATAATTTAACAAATAATGTGACAATTTACTGAATGAAGCTTATTTCTTCTAAAAGGTTCTTTAAAATTTTCTAGTCAATTTTATTAAAATTTTGTTTATTTCATTTTATAGGAGATGAAGCACTATTCCGTAACTATGCCAGTAGAGCATATTACAACTCTCTCTACATAAGTCTTCTTGTACTTTTTTATCATCTTATAGTGTAATTCAATTTGTTTGGATAATAATTAAAAATGTATGTATAGTGTTATTTCAATTATCCTGCCACTGAAAGTAATGTTATATTAACATTACTATTATTGTTATATAGAAAGTACATAGTTAAATTATATATTAGTTGAAGGAATGTGAATATGAAATCAGACCGAATTTTATATATTAGAAATTCATGTTTACTATAACTTGAAATTTGAAGTTGGTTAGGATCCACTTAAAATATTACTAATTAACATCATATATTTTTTTATAACTTTCTATTGGTTGTTTATTACTTATAAACTCTATCCAGATATATTTGCATGTAAATGTATTTTTGGTACTGATTTTAGATGTGATAAAATGTCCGTCCATTGACCGCAAAATATAGATTAGATTTGTTTTTATTAATTAGTTTTTATGATTTGATAATCAATGTTGTTCATAAACGAAACCAAATTTAATTATTGTAATATGTGTTCTGCTCATTGGGAAAATACTTTCAAGTTTATGACACTGCTTAATTGTGTTTTAGTTATTAGTTAGTGCTATATGTACTGTTTTTTTTTTTTTAATTCCTATTATTAAGATAATACTATATATCATTTATAATATTAATTTTTGTAATTATTTCATCAGTGATTGCTTTTATGCTCTACATGTTATTAAATGCAGAGCTCTGTGGTTTGTAATTATTCTAAAATTGTACCTTAATGAATCTCTTTACATTTTACTGTGAGTGATTAGCTTTAGTCGATACAATAACCTGAATGTGCATATTTTTTTTTTATTATTTAATGATAACATTTCAGTTTTCAATGCCTGTTGGACAGATTTATTTATGCTGACCTGTACTTATTTTCATTATTTAAAATAATGTATAAAGTTTATACATGTGCTGATTTGGATTCAGTTACCATTGGTCGTTCATTAGTAATGCATCATGAGATCTGAAGTAATAAAAAAGTTTTGTTCTATTATTTACCATTCTGGTGATAATACATATATAGCATGTGATTGAATTGTTAGATTTTATATAATTTAGTTTTAATTACCCTTTTAAAATGAAATAAGGTTTATTTCATTTTGTTCTCCTATTATGACTTATTAGAAAATGTTTTCTAAATTTAACATTTATAATTATCAGTTCTTATTGATAACAAACATTTAATTTTTGCAAAGTTAGATTTTTTAAAACATAAAGGCTTTAGGCTACTTTATGTCAAAAAGAGGTTCTTTGATTTGAGCCAATAAGATAAATTTTATTTTACATAGTCAAACTAAAACAGGCAATTTTTATATATTTCTTATTATCATTGTTTATTTATTGTTTTTTCTTTCATTTTGTTTATTAACATGGATGATATTTGTTCGGCACCAATTTTTTTTTATTTCTTAAAAACAAAATAATAAATTAACATGTTTTATGACTGGTTTTGGATATAATTGAAATAAATCTAATAATTACTAATGGTTTTGGTGTTGTGTAATCTGAATTTTTATTATTAATGACCAATCTTTGCAAAAATTGTAATTTTGAATCTGTAGCTCATTACTAACTACGAGTTTTATTTATTTAAGTTTAACTGTAGTTTCAATTTAAGATTAAAATAGGTAGCTCAGAGCACAAAAGTATTTTCTGTATGAAACACAATTTTTATATATTTAGTTACTTAAATTTCTTCCAAATGAAATAATAATTAAATTTGGAAATACATTATATTATGAGCCAAGTACTGTCTTACTTCTATTTTAATAAATCAAACAATGTGTTGGATTAATGTATTAAAAAAAAAAATTAACTTATGCAATCAAAATAAGCTGTTTATAACCAGCAGCATTATTTTATTTTATGTCTACCAAACTACATGTGTTCCAAATAAAGTTAATTTAATGTTAAATGCATCAAAATAGATCTTTACCTATGTTCATGTATATTTAGAAAAGCTGTTAAACTGCGAAGAAGAATATTTTTGTTTTTAGATCTTATGAATTTTATACACTGTCATGTTATGGCTATATGCTTATATTTTTTAACATTAGTAATAATAATTTTAATTTTCTTATTTTCAGTTTATTTTATTTAATTCCTACAACTATCGCACATTCAGAAGATAAAAAAATGATTAAAAGAAAATATTAGTTCACATAGAACAAGAACATTTTTTCCTGATAATACTGATTTTAGGGCCATTCTTTTGGAAACATTAAACCTAGAAGATTCCGATTTTACTTGATTAACTATGAGATTCAAAAAAATTACTTTAGATATTTAAAATCAAAACATTTAGCTAAAGTGTACCAACTTCTCTTAGATCATCAGTCTTAATTTGTTTCTGATGTCAGGTTTTAAATACTAACATTATATATATTTTGGAGTACTCAAGCAAGTTGTCTCACATTTTGTTCTGGATGTTTGTATATTATCAAATAAGGTAACTAGCACTGCTTATGCAGATATTTCAACTAATTCAAATAAAAGTATTATTACAATAAGTCCATTTACACATCCAGTTTTGAAAGTAAAGGTCATTAGTGTTCTAGTTGACAAACATGGAGGCGTTAAACAACAATTCAGTAAATATATTTCAATATCTGTTCCTTAATAACTATAATAAACCTCCGTAGGGGTTTTGATAACCAGTGTTCAGATAAATATTCATTGCATATATGCTTGTTTTAGGTGAAAATTTTCTAATATTTTAAAATAAGGCTTTGTTTATTTCTTCACCATATTTATTTCAGTTTGCATAGCTATGTTTCGGCTGGTAAGCCATCTTCAAGCCATTTTATCCAACCATGCTTTTTGCATGTAGTCCAAAGTCAATCTGAAGCTGTTTATCAAAGTTTATCAGCTGTCAATCTGACTTTGGACTACATGTAAAAAGCATGGTTGGATAAAATGGCTTACCAGCCGAAATATAGCTATGCAAATTGAAATAAATATGGTGAAGAAATAAACACAGCCATTTTTTATAAAATTGAAATATTTATTGTTTATATATCGTAGTTTAAACACATTTATTTATTTTCTTTTTAAATCAATCCTTAGCAAAGTAATATAATTATGAAAAAAATATCTAACTGTGATAGAAACTGTAGAATTGACAAATAGATCTCCTATTTATATTAACGGCCACCCAACTTCATTGCTGACTGGATGTTTCTGTGAAACAAAGAGACAAGACTCCTAAGAGACTTGGGATTCATGAATTTGATGGAATGTTCATTTTTTTTTTTTTTTTTTTATACATCCTATAAAATCAGTCCTGATGCTCCTCATGGCCGAATGATTGATCTAATAAAAAAATGCCAGAGGCAAAAGATGTGGCTCTACTTCTGTGTTTTTACCAACCCTCTGCTATTGTTTTCTATCTTTGGCACAGGAGATGATATGCGGTAGAAACTTGAGTGTACAATATAACAACTATTTATTAGTACTGTTATTTACAGTGACTAAAAGTTGCAGTGCATAATCCTGAAAAAACAGTTCACTGTCTTCAATACTGATTAAGTATTTAAAGATAGATTCCTTCATTTTCTCTCCATTGATTTCATCAAGGGCAGAACAAAATAATATAAGGCTTTTTCAGTTTATATTTAGTTCAAATTTAAAAACAAGTAATTTTTAAAAACTCATAATTATTTAAGTATAAGAATATATTGTATTATACATAGAACAAAAACTAATATATTTGTTTGGATACTAAATATTTTTGAGCTACTTGAACAATAAACTGTGCATTTAATTTGCTCTATGAAGATGTGAAATATTTCTGATAGAAAATCTTTACGTCCTTTACATCTTTCTGCTTGCATATTACATGTAGTTAGTGCTATTAAAATCCAGCTGCAATAAAAATAAACACATTAAAAGCAATTTTATCATTAATTAACTTTAATCTAAGTAGTTAAATTAATAAAAAATTAGTAACTGTTTTTTTTAATTTTTAACAATTTGCATCATTCAAGGAAGAATGGATGCACCGAGGAATGAACCTAACTTGGTTGTACTAGTTAAAAGTATGAATTATTTCTCAGAAAGTAAAATTTGTGAAAATTATGAATGTAGAAATTTTTTAAGGCATGTATAAAACACAACTTTACAGGAAAGATGGGAGCAATAAACCAGTTTTAATTTAATTATTGAATTTTCTATTAGTTATTTAAAATATTTGATTGGATAATTTTCAACAGTTGTAAAAACTATAGAAGCTGTTTATGATTCTGGTGATGGGATTTATAACAAAGATATTCTAAATGTATCTTGTAAAAAATTTTTAGAAGTTTTCTAAAAATATTTCAAGTCATAGGCCCCTTCTGATTAAGAAGGATTTGGCCTAGCTTCTCATTCATGAAAAGTGATAGTATTGTTTAGTTTGATTTTCATATAGCAGAGATTTCCTACTAATACTATATAGGATTATTGAGTGAGTTATGATTTAAATTATTAAATAACCATTGAAACAGTCTTCTAAACTGCTAATTTTCATGAATTGGTTTATAAATGAGCAGTCTTTTGAATAAATATTCGTTTTTATAATATTTTCTTCTATTATCCAAGAGCAGAGTCGATATTTCCTAACTTATTTGAAGAAAACTTTTAGTCATATACTATTATAATGCCCATCCTCAGCATTTAATTTGCACTAGTATGCAACTCAAATCCGCGGAATTTCAAAATAGTGCCCATTGAAAGGAGTAACCATTTGGTTTTTAATTTTTTATATTAAATAAATAAATTTATTTATTTATATAGGGGCCGGTATAGTAGAGTGGTTAGCGCGCTATACTAGTAAAGCAAAGATCATAGGATCGAATCCCGGCCCTACTTCCCAATACGGCTGGTCCCCGCGGGAAGTTATATAAAAAAAAAAAAAAAAAACAATTATATTTTTATGTATTTACATCAAAAATGCATTATTTGAAGATGATTTTTTCATCATGAAACTGGGCAGATTCCAAACAATGTTGTCTGCAGAAATTATATTTACTTGAATATAGTTTATCTCCAGCTAGGTATGTAACTCTGCAGCAAGCTCTACAGCTGCTTAGAGAAATTATATATTTACTTCGGGTAGGAGATACCGATGTTATCTTATTTCCTTCATATATCTGCCCCAGAACTCTTGTGTTATAACCAAGATGGCGGATACATGATCCTCGGATTGCGGCAGTTCTACAATATCAGTTCTACATCCCTTCAGTAGAACCTGCCTACGAAATAGCTTATTCATTAAATTGTTAGAAACTTCTAACCTTTATATCATTATTAGAGTACATTACTCTTAAACTTCACGCAATGTGAAAATTTAGTTTTGGAACCAACATCTTTGGTTAACCATTTTGCAATCCATGATCATTGGACTGGTCTCAGGTCTTCCACCTCATTTTTAGTTTCCCCTCTGGTAGCTCCACAGGACTTTTGTGCAATGAAGACCCATTGTCTCTTGCATATCAATTAAAATTTCTCAATTCCTAACACTTAAAGAAGTTCCAAAGTAACTTTTTATTCCACATATGCCCTTTTTTTGTTTCCATGGTCTTTGCAGGGTGGGCGGTATGTGTAACATTTTGTTTAGGTGTTGTGATTAGCAACTCATCTGCTACATTTTCTTCTGTGTGTCATTTTATATAAGACTGCAAAGAGCCAATCTTAATTTACCTGATATGTGTAAGGTAACTCATTGTGTAAGATGCCCACACCACTGCTATTAATATTCCTGAAATAGATTTATTAACATACAGCTCAGGTCCCTTTACTCCATTATCTTATTAGGTTCATCTTAACAACATCTGATCTATTGGTGCTCTCAGCCTATGAACTATTCTTCCAAGAAGAACTAGGAAACATCTTCCCAGGCAACCTCCATTTCCACAAATTTGCGAGGTCTTCTCAGGGTGGGCGGCCATTCTTCAGGCCATTTTTTAAATTTCAGATACTTATTGTGCCTCAAGGAAGATGTTGAGGATTTTGACCTTCACACTCCAGGCCATTTTTTGATAGGCTCCGCCTTACACACTCTTCCCGAACCTGCTTCACCATTTCAAGTCTCTGGTTTCCCATCTCTCCAAATGGCAAATTATGCAACCCCAAATCTCGCGAATTTGGAATCTATGGCGAAGAGAGTACCTACACGCGCTTCAACAAAGAATGAAATTGACTCGCAAGATCCCTAATATTATAACAGGTTATCTCGTCATATTACTGGAGAAACATCCCTTACTTGGTCATTGGCCAGTTGCGAGAGTTACAGATACTCATACTGGATGTGAGGGCACCATCCGCACTGTTACGGTGTGTACGCCCTCCCATGGCAGTTTCACTAGAGCTGTCACCTCTCTAGCTCCATTATTTACCCCTGAGATGGAAGATCACTCATAGGATTGAGGACTCCATTGTCTTTTTCTAGTTTGTTTTCGCTTATTTAAGGAGTTGTATTTTATTTATATTTTTCTTCTGTTTTCTGTATATTCAATGCCTTGTATTTTATTCATGTTATCAATTTATTTAGCAAAATATGTATTATTTTTCTTCTGTAAACATTTGTTTCTCTTTTTTCTTGATTGAAGCTCACCAAGGTACATTTCAAATGTATTTTTATTTATTTAAATTATTCAGCATAATTTAGGTGAACGGTTTGTTTAGGGTTGATCACCCTAAATTGATATTACTCTCTCTCCCCTCTCCCCTTCAGAGGATACAACTAAAACATCGCTAAGGTAACACTGTGCCGACGGTGGCGTGGTCTGCACTGAAACAACAAGAGAAAATGGGTGACTGAAGTCAAGATAGGATTCCATCTCTTCCCTCTTCAAGACTTTGAAACACGGAAGAGTAGAACACTCGCCGGACCCGTGGATGTGAGAAGGAAGTGTGGCAGCCGGCTGACCACCGTACCAATCAGCATCATTCATAATCAGTCATCATCCAGCCAAGTAATAATACTACAATCCAAATTCCATTAACAATATTGTAAACCCCTTACATTTAAACCCCATCTCTATGTAATATATTCATCAATACAATTATATTTATCATTCATACAGTCCACTAAATTGTTTCACCAGCCCAATCATCTTTCTGTACCAGATCATATCAAAAATGATGGTATAGGTCCCATAAACTGAGGATGGACAGTTACAGTGTTATATGGCTAAAAGTTTTCTTGAAATAAGTCACGAAATTTCAACTTGACTCTAGAACCATTATACTTTTGAAACTCAAAAATTTTATAATTTGAACCATTTTCTTAATATGGCTAATATTCATTATATAATGGATAGCAGCTGATTATTATGTCCTTTTTTTTTTGTAATAGTGTATAGATGAGCTGTCTGTATAAAAGGATTAATGCACAAAGTTAAACGTTTTTGTATATGTTATAGCATCCATGAGCATAGGCTCATTCCTTAGTAAAATAAACTTACTCAGAAGTTATTTTAGTTTATTATTTATTTCATATCGCCACAGCTTATTTCATTAACATATATCCTCTGAATAGCTGAAGTATATTTTTGCAAAGTCATTTTGAATTTTCATCCAAAAGATATAAGAAAAGTGAGATCCAAAATTTTATTATGATCTTGTCGTTCTTATACCTTTGTTAAATTTTATAATATATATTATATGATTAACTATTGCATGTTACGGGATATTTCAAATTTAAAATTATGAACTCAATTACTTATATGATAGTTACTTCCCAATCATATAAAAATCCTATAATAATTGAATTATTAGGTTTTAATAAAAATATTTCAGTCTATATTCTTTAATCTTTACATCAATAATTAGTTACTATCTGTTCAACTTTTGCCTATTCAATTATCATTGACTAAAATAATTAGGACTAAAATAAAGCTTAAATGCATTATTGTATCACAAAAATGATTGTAAATCACATTTTCTGTCATTTTAGCTACTTTTTAGTTTATAATAATGTATTTGAAACTGATATGAATCAAACCGTGGGTCAAAATATAAAAATAACTTTAATAAAAGTTATAAATTATTTTTAATTTTACAGTTATTGTCTTTCATTGCAACTTATGTTTCTGGAAGTTGAAAAAAAAAAAAATCTCAATTTCCTTGGTGAATTACTTACTTACGACTAAGTATCATTAGTCCCACAAATATATTGTGCCTATTTTCAGAGAATTATTCGAAGTAGTCTTATGATCAAGTAAGCTGTTATACAAGGTAGCCCTGGTTAACTATTCCAACTTGATTTTTGTGCAGATTTTTATTTTAAAATTGATATAGGTCAGCCGTAAATGGCTAAATTGGTTAAAAAAAGAACCACCCTTGTTTTTGCCTAAATTTCAGTCAACATTGTTAGGTTTTTCTATATATCCCCACATATATTGTTACATATATATATATATAGTTGTGATCATACATTATATAAAACATTACTGAATTCCCTACAAAAGGAGAAAAAAAATCATCGAAATCGGATAATATTTAGCAAAGATAGAGCTTATTGAAATTTGTAAACATGTTGGTTCAAAATATTAATGAAGTTTTAAATTAATTATTGTTTCCTTTGTCAATTATATTTATCGATAAAGTAACAATTGATTTCTTTATCTTATGATATGTTGCATTTTATTTTATTTTATTTTATTATTAATTTGACATTTGATCACTTGACAATATGCTGTGTGAATTTTTCTCACGGGCCTACTAGAAGTACTAGAAGTAAATACTCAAACTTTTTCTGGCAATGTCTTTCCTCAATAATCTCTTTCAGTAAAACATTTTCATTAAAAAAAGAACGAATGCTTTAACAGTAACTATGTTTCTACTTCCCGCTTGCTCCTATGTTCTAATATTAGCTGCCCCTTCTACTTTTACAGTGTTATCTCAAGTGTACCATTGATTATTCAGAAATGTATTTGTAATATTTTACTTACTTGCATTCATTTATGTCAACCATCACTTGCAACATATCTACGATATGGGTAACTCTTGTTTTTTCTTCAACACATTGTAAAAATACATTAACATCCCAACATCTTCCACCATTTTCTTCTTCAGTCAGCAGTGCTGAAACAAACAAAATATTATGTTAGCACTCATCTAATTACTTACAAAAAAGGTTATCAATTTAATTATTTACTTTAGAAAAATTAGATGATTAGCGTATAAATAACAAACATTTTTATAATTCTGTTTGTTGCTTTTCTTTATATGAGGGATCAAAGCGAGTAATATAGAACCGTCGTTAAGGGATAGGAAGGTGAGACAGTGCCTGAAAGAAAAATCCTTTGATGAGTGAAGCAAGTGCAAATGGCAGGGAATTGGTGTGTCCCACTTTAAATCTAATCCGTGGACTAATGGATCTATTTATGATAGAAAAGTTCTCACTGGCTCATAATGGACTAAGCCATGACATTAAACGTTAATTATGTTCCTCTCTGCGGATTACCAGGAGCCGGAGGCCAGGCTAACGGAGATGTTGGATCCTTCTGCCGCAAATGTGTTGAGAAATTGTCTGCATAACATGCTCCTAGTCATCCGCCAGCACACTAATATAAAGTATCTTATAGCCGAATCCCTTGAAATAAAGAACTATAAATGTTTCCTCGAAGTTTATTACCTGGATACAGAAGGCTCAACAAGGCTCATTGACATCTTGGACCTTACATTGTATGCGACGGAAAAGGAGTCACTCATAGTAGATCCCACGATCAGATTTGAAACCAACAATCAGGACCAGGACTTCAAGGTACAGGCAGAGAAAGAGGAAATTTATACGAAATGCATATCTTACTTGAAGGAAAAGTACTGAGATGAATTCGGCGAGAGAGGATACTTAGTTAAGGGCTATGGTTCTGAAGGGGGGGGGGGGAGAATCCCTGTTATTAAAAGTGATTTCTTGCAAAGACTCAGTGTTGGAAGGGAGCAGATGCAGAATATGATGATAGAAACAATTATTTTAGACTTGTTAGGAATCCTCCATCACCACATTTATTGATCTAGGCTTTCAATGGTCCGATCTAACTTTCTCTTATATTTTTATACAGTATTATCTATTGATTGATGTGTATGCTGTGTTGTTTAGCAACTCAACACAGTCGAGCAGCTGTGCAATGTTGTTTTATGTATCTTCTTTTATTATGCAGGACTTGATGTTTACTAAAAGTTTCAGAAATTGAAACTTTAAGATTCTGGTGATAGTAAATCCAATTAATTGAGCATTTTGATAACCACATCACCTTCTGGGAGTTTTCATTAATCGCCACTCCTTGTGGTACTAAACTTATAAATGTACGGATTGTTGTAAAACAGATTTTTAGAAATGAATTTATTATATAAATATATATATATATACGCATACATCACATTTTAATTTATACATTACCCTTCATTGACTCTTTATTGTTTTTGTATTTGCAAACAAATGTGTGAACAGCTAAAATGGCATTAATCCACCGGTCAAAATTATTTCTTCCCTCTGTTTGGCAATCTGTATCTATTATATCCTGTGCACAGTCCATTTCATCCTCTAATGTGCTGGAAGTAAAGATAATTGTTTTGTTTAAGTTACTGCTGGATTATGTTAAATCTTGAATATAATTAATAATAATAATAAAAGGGTTAGCGAACCCGGAGGTTCGATGCCGACACCACCATTTGCTTATTACACACCTTCCTCCACCGTTCGCCGTCCAAACCCAGTTCCTTCAAATCGGTTTTAACATAATATTCCCCACCTTCGTTTCGGTCTACCTCTCGGGCGTTTACCATTCGGTACAGCAAATATCGACCTTTTAGGAATTCTTTTGTTACCAAGCCCAACAATTTTACTATCCCATTTGATTCGCAACGATGTAATCACGTAAATTATATTAACTGGATACAGTTCACGCAACTCGGCATTGTACAACCTTTTGAACTCTCCGGTTAACTCATCTTTGTTCGGTCCAAATATTCTACACAACACTTCATTTTCAAAAACCTTTAGACGTTGCTCATCCCTTAATGTAAGCGACCACGTTTCGCATCCATTAAGAACTGTAGGTAGGATAATGGTTTTATGTGCGAGCTAAGTAGTTTTGTCACAGAAAAATAACAAGCATTTCCCGCCTTTAGTCTAACCTTAATCTCCTCTTCAATTTAGTTTTTTTCTAGTTATCGTAGACCATAGATACTTAAACTTCTCTACCTGTTCAAACATATTACCTTGTATATCGATATCACCAGCCATATCGAAATTTTTGCAGCTAACCGTATATTTTGTCTTGTCCGTTTTTATTTCGAGTACTAGTTCTTTATCGGCTTTCATTAACGTTGTCGTATTTAGTTTTATTTGATTACCGTGTCTTCGCTTAACAGCACCGGATCATCCGCATAGCCCAGCACGGGTTTGTCCTACCCTTTTTTTTTTTTTTTTTTTTTTTTTTTTTTTTTTTTTTTTTTTTTTTTTTTTTTTTTTTTTGTTCTTCCCTACCTCGCCTTTTAGGCTATATGGGATTTTCCCGGGCCGGGGGGTGAGGACGGGGAATTTAAAATCCCCTCCGGCACCGGGACGCGAACTATCATCTCAAATCTCTGTCATCCGGTTGCCAGGCAACTAGCGGTGCTGTCACACACGCTTTAGCCTATTCGGCCACCCCGCCCCCTGGGTTTGTCCTACCCAGATCCAACCCATTTTCGGTACGCATTGTCTTCCTAATGGCAAATTGAACAACACAGGCGAAAGGGAATCACCATTTTTTAAATCCGAACGAACCTCAACACTTCGGATAATTTATTACCGATTCTAACTTTATTGAGTATTCCGTCAAGAACATCCTGACTAGATTTACTATTTCTTTTGGAATCCCCTGCTCAATTAGAATATTATACAGCTTCTGGCGGTCAATAGAGTCGTAAGCCTTTTTAAAATCGTTATACAGCTGGTGAACAACACCGTTGTACTCTAATTTTTTCTCCAATATTTGCCGTAAAGAAAATATTTGACCAATAGTCTAACGATCCGTCTAAATCAGCATTGGTAGTCACCGATAATTTCCTCGGGGTATTCTGTGATTTGACTTGTTAAGATTAAACTGAATATTTTATAACATAACGGAAGGAGTGAAATTCCACGGATAGTTATCCGTCCTCGGACCCTTTTTGTGAATATAAATAAGAATAGATTCTTTCCATTCTTCAGGTTATTTCTCATTCACCCAGATCTTTTTAACCAACAAATGTGTTTTAGAAACTTCAGCTTCCCCGCATGCCTTAATTAGTTCAGTAGGAATATTATCGGTACCCGCAGGTTTATAAGAGTTTAATTTTCCGATGATGACAGCTGATCGATCAGCTGATGCGAAAGCTTGAGTTTCCACTTCGGCTCTCAGAATTTCTCGTTTTTTAGTGGAATCTCTGTGATTGTTCATTTAAAACTGATCAAGTATACATAAGAACAATTGATATTTACTGTGTGCAGTTATAAATTATATATAAATATTTTCTTTTTTTTTTTTCTTTTACACCCCATCTGGTCATGTCTAGTAGAGCGTCTATTAAGAGAATTCGTTCGTCGTTTAGCTCAACACCTCGTTCTTCACCTCTATAACGAAAGCCTCGCCAATCTCGTCAAACACCTATAGTGACCCTGTTAGCTCCGGAGAACGTAAAATCCTGCAAACTGCATCATTACAAGAGACAATTGAAGAACCACAGGCTCAACCAGCCACAAGAGCCAACTGAAGAATCTCCCTTTTTCACCACCAACCCCTATCAGTTGCTTCAGAATGATAGGTAATGGAGTCCACTCCGATATCAAGAGACCCCCGACCACCACCGATATTCGTTAAGAACGTACAAAATTTCCCGTTACTCTCAACTAAACAAAATAACAGGCTCTGGAAGCTACTCATGTCTAAGCAGAACAAAAGACACTACTATATCACCAGATACAGCTGAAACATTCAGAAAAATTGTAAAATATCTGACAGAAACAAAAGCTAATTTCCATACGTATCAATTACGGCAAGAGCGAGCATTAAGAGTGGTTATAAGAAATCTACACCCCTCAAAACCAATCGAGGCAATAGAAGAACTAAAAAAAATAGGTTTTACAGTGTGCCCGGTTACAAATGTTCTGAAGGAGAGCAGGGAACAACCAAGAGTAAAAGTTCCTCTACCCTTATTTTTTGTGGACTTAAAGCCAACTCAAGGAATCGAAAAAATATACGAAATAAGAAGAATGTACTATAGAAGTGTGATAGTAGAGAAGACATATCCTTAGAGGGAAATCGTCCAGTGCCATAATTGTCAAGCATATGGCCACTCCAAGACTTACTACCATCATTTGCCGTGTTAGGTGAAATGTGGAAAGCAGCACAAATTCGGTGAGTGCACAAAACCGAAGCGAGACCCTGCAGTCTGTGCTTTGTGCATTCAAGGACATCCAGCGAGCTTCAAAGGCTGTTAGAGATACGAGAATATTAAGTCAAGATATCAAAAATCTCGGAACCAAAAAGAAGCAGAAAGATCAAAAGGAGAACCTATCGGAACAAGAAGAGAACATTCCAAATTAGTAGACCCAACTGTGTCTTCTGCACATTTACTAGGAGGTAAGAACGAAATTACTAATTGTGAGACCCTGTCGCAACAGCAATATTCACCTCGAAATCCCCAACCCTACCCTCAACATTCTACTACTCGAATTCCACCTAATCCTCAACAATTATATCGACACCAAATTTCTCACATTCCTCCTCCATCAAATACCACCGATCTCACCAGTTTACTTACATCTTTCCTCTCCGAATTCAGGTATCTCGTTACTCCTTTGATATCCCTTCTCACCAATCTTGTATCACATTTTATTCCTCCCCCGAAAAACCCTTTAATGACTTCCAATAAACCTTTATCCATTCTCCTTTGGAATGGGAATGATGTTAGAAATCATACAGACGAACTATCTGCTTTATTACTTACATACTAGACTTAAAAGACAAGAACTAAACCGACGATACGGCCAACTATACAGACTACTAAATAGAAAATCTAAACTTTCTTTTCTTGAAAACAAATTACTTATCTACAAGGCAATCTTGAAACCTATGTGGACAGACCGACTTGGACTATGGGGTACAGCAAAATTTTCTAACATCAAATGCATTCAATCCTTTCAATCTAACGTCCTTCGAACAATAGTTGATGCTTAATTTTATTTAACCAAAAAAACCCTACACCATGACCTTAAGATTCCATTTGTCATAGACCTTATGCCCGAAAAATTCTCCAAATTCCACCAGAACCTTACTCTCAAGAGAATCATCCGAATCCTCTTGCACAATCCCTATCCAGCACCACCCATCCTTACAATCCTCCTCGAAGGTTGACTTTTTGTGAATAAGTATATATGGGAGTTTTGGCAATGGCCAAAGTCTCCACTTAAGCCATGTATGTGTGATTATAGCGTCTTTTATTACCAGAGTACTCCTAGAGTCCTGCTTTCCTTCCACGAGTGGGGTGAAAGGCTAGGCTCGGAGATCTTGCGTGAATGTTTTTTTTTTTTTTTTAAGTTTAGTTCATTAGCTTAGTTTCTTTTTCTTTAGTTAATTTTATTTTAGTTTATATACATTTACTTTTAGTATTATTATTTTTATGCATTATTTATTACGAATTGAGTGTGAATTAAAGTGTCCTTAATTGTGACAGATTGTAATAACTATCTCTCTCTCAAAAAAAAAAAAAAAATTCCGATAGCTACTTTAACTTCCTCTTTAATTCCACATAATTACCAGTATTTAAAATATTGTCAAAGTGGCTCTTAGACTTATTTAATATGTCAACCGGATCGGTCAGGATATTGTTATTTTCATTCCTAATTCCAGAAGTAACGGGCCCTACATATTTACGTGATCTGTTTATATCTTTGTACATGTCTCTTACGTCATTTTCAATTCTATTAGTTTCTATTTCAATTATTTTATTTTTAAGATACTCCCTTTTTTTATTTTTGAGCAATTTTCTTGTTTCGTTCTTTGAGGTTCGGAAGTATTCCAAATTGTCTTCGCTAGGATTATTTAGAGCTTTTAATTTAGCGGCTTTTCTTTTTTCGCACATGTTTAAGCAATCGTCATCAAACCACGGATTGTTATTCTTATTTTTCATTTTTTCCTAGACACGTGTTACCGACCGCTTTAATATTATCCCTGATCTCTACCATAACTTTTCAATATCCTCGCAGTCCTCGTCAGTAGGTTCTAAAGCTTCAAACCTATTCTTAACATCTAGCTCGAATTGAGTTCTGATTGATGGATTTTTTAATTTTTCCAAATTAAAATTCTCGAAATAGAAACAGTTTTCTTTTCTCTTCTTTATATTAAGTTTATATCGAAGTTTTACGATTACTAATGTATGATCCGACCCACATTCAGCGATGAGACCGTGCATTAATTATACTGCTATGCCAGTATCAATGCATGATCGATTTGATTTCGTGTTTGCGAATCCGGTGATGTCCTGGTATATTTATGAATATCCTTATGTTTAAACGTTATATTTTTAATTATCAGGTTTTTCGAGATGGCAAAGTTTATCAGACGGATCCTATTATCATTACTATATTCGTGAAAACTTTCTTTACCGTGGCTCTGCAAGCGGTCTGCTGGCCAGGGGAGGGCTCGATGAGGAAAGGAAAGTATAACTTTTCGTGACTCATCGAAGCCCTCAAATAAGAAAGTATTAATTTTAACGTTCTGAAAGATAACTCTTTAAACTTTAACAAAATATCACAACATCAACAAATAAAACTTTAACAAAAAAATCACCTCCAAATTTTCGAAAAACAATTTAAAAATTTTGATCTTGTGCTTTTTCGTCCTTATTTTTCAACATAAAGATTTCATTGGGATGTCATTTTTTAGGGTGAGCATTTATAAATATAATTTACTGGTGTTTTACTAATACTACGCCCCTTGGGTTCCCTCTCGTTCATTCTCCACAACTTAACAGGCACAAGACTCCCGAGATTATTTGAATGTGGGTTGTGTTTGGTGAAGTTGGGTTTTAAACGTAATGAAGACACGGAAACATAATACAACAACGTTGACGAAAGCCGGTAAATAATTGTTTCTCGAAATAAATACGGATAAAACTAAATACATGGTTAGCTGCAGAAATGTGGAAGATTTTGGTAATATAGGTGTTGTAGGAAATAAAGTTGATAAGGTAAAGAAAGTTAGGTATTAGAATCGACGATAACTGTAAAAAACAGTCTAGCCAGAGGCGGCACATTGTTCCCGCTATTCTTTCTCATTTATTTGACTACAATTATCATTATTACTTACAATTTTTTAAAATTTATTTCTTATAAAAGAATTTTGGGTTTTTAATTAAGCACAGCCGCATCTATCATTTTTCTTCGTTTCGTAAAAACATAGAAGAAAGTACATCTACAACCTGCTCCAGACCGAAGAGAGTTGGCTAATCCCATGTGCTATCGGCCAGCGCCTTTCCTGAGTAAATATTTTTTGTTCTTACAACAAAATGGTCCACTGCTCAACTTGTGACGGCTCTATCTCTAGAGGCGATAAAAATAATTTGTGTTGTAATAAATGCCGCTTGATTTTTCACGGCAAATGCTGTATCTAAAATGAATAGGAGGTAGAAATTCTAAAATCTCCAAAAAACAAAACAAAAAAAACATGGGTGTGTAAAAATGTGAACAGAGTAAAAAGACTGCCCCATCTAGAGCAAAGTCAGCTAGTCCACCCAGAAGTGATAGCAAATAATCCTCCTCATCTGATATCCTCCCTGCGGTTAACAAGCTTAGCCTAATTTCACCTTTTATCTTTTCATTTATTTCACCATCTATACATCTATATTCCTTCAGGTGAGTACCAAGATACATAAAATTCCTTACTTGATTTAACCTTATATGGTTCAGTCTTACCACCCTATCCCCATGTTCGTTTTTCCTTCCTATTCTCATTATCTTTGTTTTTGCTGCATTGATAATCATATTGCCAGTTTCTAATCCCAAGTTATAGGGTCTGAACTAACCACTCATATTTTGGAGTGGGATCCTGATATCAATTCCACCGTCTCCTACGTAAGATATGGAATAAAAAAAATAATGAAAAATCATATTGCTCTAAATTTAAAATTTGGACTTACTCGCAAATTGTGTTTGGGTTAAATTCACAATTTTTATCATTATAACATAGGAGATTCGTTAAGTTGAAATGCTCAAAACAGCGATCTGCTAGCTTTGGCTGACAGTCTTCCAAGTTTTCATCTCCTTTTGAAACTATAAAAAACAAATTAAATAATTTTTCAAGATCATAGTATTTTATTTATTGGCAAAACAATATATGTATAATCTACAAGGTCTGGAAAAACTAACAGAAAAAAAAGAATAAAAAATAGGATATATAATAAGTTAGATTGAAATTTTTTACTTTATATATATATATATATATATATACATATAAAAAAGTTTTTAGTGACTGTGTCATATTTTATATGACATATAAAAACTGTAACAGACACCACGCTTCTTATTCCCAGAATTATTTTGTTCCTTATTATGGTGGGCAATAAAAATAATTATAATTATATAATGAGTTCTGCCATGGGCTAATTTATTACAAACCACCAGTTACTTCGTCTCCCACAAGTGATTAAATTACTAGTGAATTAGTGAACTATAGTGATTAGAAACAGTGTCATTTGAACAATTAACAATTCGTTCATCAAATGAACATAAATACGGTGAGTAATCGCTTGTATTTTCAGTTTATTGAGCAGTGTAAACAACAATAGATATAGGTGAAGAAGGCCATATTGTTATCTATCAATCCCCTCCAGTCAGTTGAGCTGTTGCTCTCTGAAGAGGTGGATCTCATGTCGCTTGGCCCTTCACTGGAACGCGTAATTATTTACGCACAAGATTATTATTTTCTCTTCTTATTCAGCCATTACCATAAATGCCATATTGTCACATGATAATGTCTACCAAAAGTAGAAGATCAAGAAGTCTAGGTAACAACAGCTCTTAAAGCTCGCCTGTAAAGCAAAGGCCAAGGCGTTCAAATAGGAAAACACCACCATCAACACCTGACAGACCAACTGAAAATATTAACGATCCACAACCTGGTACTTCAACAGATGAATCTCCGTTCTACACCACCAACCCATACCAGCTATTATCGTCAGAAGATACTATGGAAGCAGCACCAACCCCCAGAGAGCCAAAACCACCTCCAATATTTGTTAGAAATATTAAAAATTTTCCTTTATTTTGTCAGCATCTCAATAAAATAATTGACAACGGTAAATATGCATGCCATAGTGGAACCAATGACACCAAACTAATGCCGGATTCTCCGGATACATCAAGAAGAATTGTGAATTACTTAACTGAATCAAAGGCTCAATTTCACACTTATCAGTTATATGAAGAGAGAGCACTGAGAGTAGTGATAAGAGGTCTCTACCTGATGAAATCAAAGAAGAATTGACGGCTTTAGGCTGCAATGTCCGCCAAATCATCAATGTTTATAAAGACAATAAAGAGCTACCAGGCACAAATAACAAAATAGCACTACCATTATTTTTTGTGGACCTAGAGCGTGCTCCAGGGGTCGAAAATATTTATAGACTTAATCATTTGTACTATACTAGTATAGTGGTTAAAAAGCCATACAGTAAAAAAGAGATAGTTCAATGCCATAGTTGTCAAACGTATTGCCATACAAAAAGCTACTGCCATCGCTTACCTCGATGTGTGAAGTGCGGACAACAGCGCAGGTCTGAAGATTGCACCAAGTCTAGGCAAACTCCTGCTGCTGGCACTCTATGCCATCAAAACCATTCAGAAAACTACAAGGGATGCCAAACGTACAAAATATTGAAATTAAGAAACAACACAGGCAACACTCAGACAGGAAGAGACCGCCAGGACTTCCAGACCACCTAGGCAACCCACAAGACGTGTGACCAAAGAAGTGTCCTTTGCTGAAATGCTAGGAGAGATTGAACAGTCAAATCAACCTCAGGTCCTGCCGCAAACTCAGCAACAACCACATGATCCACCACCCCAATATAACACCCAAAAGTCCAGTCCTCACCAAATCTCCTATGTTCCTCCTCCTAACAATTCCAATCATCTCGCCAGCCTCCTTACATCGTTTCTCTTAGAATTCAGATCTCTTATCACTGCGCTCATATCCTTACTTACAAATGTCATGTCCAATCTTATCCCACCGCCAAAAATTCCTTAAATGTCCTCAACAAAACCCCTTTCCATTCTCCTCTGGAACGCGAATGGTGTTCGAAACCACATAAACGAACTAAGTTTTTTTCTACAGGACAATAACATTGACATAGACCCGACTAACAAATGACAGTTCAACATACCTAGATACAAGATTTACCGAACTGACCACCCTGATGAAACTGTACATGGAGGCACTGCCGTCATCATCCATCAATCCCTCTCCCATTACTTTTATCCTTTACTAGTTCATAATTCCCTACAAACCTTAGTAATAACAATCCAAACTTCACTTTTTCCTGTCACAGTTGTCGCAGTATACTCCCCACCTAAAACAGCAATAGCCGAACCTAACTTCATATCCTTTCTTAATTCCTTAGGACACCATTTCCTTACAGGTGTAGACTTTAATTCCAAACATCAGCAATGGGGAGCCAGAACCACGAACTCCCGCGGAAGAACATTGCTGTCTGCACTTAATTTCCACAATAGCAACATCCTTTCCCCTGATACTGCTACATACTGGCCAACCGATCCTAACCGTAACCCTGACCTCCTTGACTTCATTCACAAAGGTCTAGGGCCGTTAAATTATTCAGTTTTACGGCTTGATGACCTTTCCTCAGACCACAGTCCGCTAAACCTAACCCTTTCCGCATCTCCTCTCTCCAAATTATCTCCTCCCTCATTCATCAGGGATCCAGTCAACTGGAACCTTTTCTGTCATACAATAGCAGATGCAATAGACCTCAGAGTATCCCTAAAAACCCCACAAGAACTAGATAATGCAGTGAGTTCCTACACCACCTTGATCCAACAAGCAGTTCGGACTGCATCCTTGCCACTCCCCTCTAAAACATACCGTAAAAAGAATCCTTTGCCCCAAGACCTTACTGGCCTAATTAAATCCAAACGTCAGTCTAGGATCCTCTGGCAAAGAACCAGGCATCCTAATGATCGAAAAGTATACGATTATTATTCAAAATAGGTAAAAAAAGAACTAGCTTCCTTTAGATACCAATCGTACAATTCCTACCTCTCTTCCCTATTTACCGATGACAACTCCCTCTGGATGTTGACCAGAAAAATCCTTAAATACCATTCTGTTTCCCTCCCCCTCCGATGCAATGATGGAACATGTAGATGAGACTAGATCGTCAGATGAGACTAGAGCTGAAGAATTTGCCAAAGACCTATCCAAAACATTCACTCCCCACCCCAAACTCCATTCTACCCTCACTGCTGAAGACAAAGAATTCCTCTCTTCTCCTATTCTTCTCTCCTTGCCTTCTAAAGCTGTCAACCCCTCTGAGGTCAAATTTCTTAAAAGCTACCTAAAACCTCGAAAATCCCCTGGACACGATCTCCTTACTTCCCAGATCCTCAGACAAATTCCCAAAAAAACAGTTATATTCCTTAAGTACCTATTCAACTGTATCCTCCGCACAACCCACTTTTCTCTGGTGTGGAAACACTACATAATTATCCTCTTTCCTAAACCAGGTAATCCTGTCAATTATACATCATCCTATAGACCGATAAGCTTACTCTCAATCATTTCCAAAATCTTTGAAAAAATTCTTCTCAATCGCATCCTACCCATACTCGAAACCCACAATATTCCATCCCATCAGTTGGGATTCCGCTCAAGACATTCCACTGTACAGTTCGGTATCTTGGATTCCTTTTAGATAAAAGACTAACTTGGAACCCACATACTAGACTTAAAAGACAAGAACTTAACCGACGATTTAGCCAGGTATACAGACTACTTAACAGAAAATCCAATCAATAGAAAACAAACTATTAATATACAAGACCATACTCAAACCCATCTGGACCTACGGACTTGAACTGTGGGGGACAACTAAATTTTCGAACATCAAACGCATCCAATCCTTTCAGTCTAAAGTCCTCCGTATAATAGTCAATGCTCCTTATTATGTTACAAACAAAACCTTACATCATGACTTTTACATCCCTTATATCCTTGACGTTATTCCATTCCGATTCTCAAATTTTCACCGGAACCTAATCCACTATCCTAACCCCTCAGCGCAATCCTTATCTAGCTCCAGTCATCCCTACAATCCTCCTCAAAGGTTGAAACGGCAGTGGCCTCGAGATCTTTTGTAAAGACGTCACTGGAGTTCTGGCAATGGCCAGCTTCTCCACTCAAGTCATGAGTGTTTGGGGCTTTAGTGTCCTCTCTCAGTCTCCACCGGACTGGTAATGCCGGCGACACGGCTAAGGGAGAAGCGCTGGGATCTCTTAAAGTCTCGCTTTGTCTTTCACACGTGGGGGAAAGGGCTGGACTCGGAGATCTCTCATCGGATTGTAAATATTATAATTAAGTATGAATGTTTTTCTATTTATTTCTTTTACTTATAATTTATTTAATTTTGCTACGAATTTCTGTATTTTATTTAATTTTAACTCTAAGTTACATTTCCTTGGTCCATTATATTTTTTTTCATGTTCGTATAGATGTATTAAATTTTTTATTATTTATTCAGTTTTTGTTATTTATTTTTATTTTTTTAATGTATTGTACATATGGTATGAATGTGCCTCACTCAGCTTTAGTACTCAGTGCCCTTAAGTGTGGCAAAATGTATTATTTCTCAATAAAAAGATATATAAAAAGTAAAAAAAAAAAATTATGTAATGATATAAATTTTCCATAACCTGCGGTTAATCCATAAGGTGTTAAGCTCCCTCTTAGTTTAAATCAACTTCGAATGAAGCCTAACTATTATTCAAATTAAATTGATTGTAATTTAAAAGAAAGTGGACTGTATTATGAAACATTTATTTTGAAACATATACACCTACTAATATTGAAAACATAAAAAATAAAATGAAATCAATTTTACATTGGTATCAATAGATAAAATAAATTAATAACTTCTAAAATGAAAATTTTGATAAGCTGAATACAATGTTAATAATAATTATGAAATATCTAATAAAATAATTGGTTGTTTGATTATGAAAAAATTGACAAATATATATTAAACATAATTTAGGAA